ATATATACTTTCCGCCGTCTAGCGCCACGCTACGGACAGTTTAGGCGAGCTATCGTCTGTACAGTATGTAAATCAGGTACCGTAAGTCTAATACTGCACTAATTTTATACATTTCTTGTGTAAGAAACATTTCTTATTCAACAGCGATTAAAATTATTTATATTAATGATGTCTCCAAAGTTCAACGAAGTTTTCGCAGAAAAATGACATCAGAAATCGCGGCCGAGGTTTGCTGCGCTGTTCCGCGACGAAAACAAGCTTGAGCAACGGCGATGTCGAATGGTGCACACTCGGTAAGTAATCCTACAATTTTTTGTTTATAGCGTAGTTTATACGGATTATTTATAAAAAATATACGTATTTTGGAAATGTTGAGTCGGATTAGTCTAGAAGCGAATAATTTTATGGAAGAAAACCTGTCAAACAGCCGTAGTCCACTTCACACGTGTCGGGCTGTGATTGGCTGTGATTCCTACAAAATTGATTCATATAGAACGGAACGTATCTACCGTGTTATAGGGGGATCGACTGTATTACATTTGTATTGCAAGTTTATAAAAGGTATTTCATTTATACGTAAATAACAACAGTTTAAATTGTTAAAACCGTTTATCGTATTTCTTTAGATTAATTTTTGGTATACGGTATTTGGAATTCTTATCACAGATAATCATTTTAAAAAGATCATAAATTTAAATTAACAAAAATAAATTTAAAAGATTAAAAACTCATTGAAAATTTTAACACGTAATTGATCTCTTCAAATTTCAAGTAGACCTAATTTAATAAATATTTTCTAATTATTTTACTCGTTCGAATCGTTGCTATGCAAGTAATCAAATTTCCATATTTGCCCTTTCAATTATTTTTAATTGTGGTATTTCTTAACAATGTCTTTCATCTGACAATAAACAAACAAAAACTACTTAAATCTACTTATATTTTAGCAACAAATCTTAACTGTAAACATACTGCTCGTATAAATATTTAATTAATATTTAAATACTGTATAGTCGTTCTGTAAATCACAGAGAACAAAAGTTACAGTTAATATGCACTGTCCGAAAATAAAAAAATTTAAATTCTGGTTTTATGATCATTCAAGCGAAAATTAAGTGTATTATAATGCTTCAGGTGAGTGCGTTGTGAGTTAATTTTACACTAATTTACTTATTGAAAAAAATAAAAAACTTGACACTTTTTACTAGGAGTTATTTTGTTCTCGCATAGTCAAGTACCTATTTTGTTGTTTATATTAAAATACAAATTTTTATCTGATAATCATACTGTGAAAATTATGAATATTAAACAGATAAAGTCCGCATGTTAATGAATTAATGTCAAAATGTCAGGAATCCGTCTTAATACTTTTAAATTTTCAAAAACAGAAAAAAAATATAATATGATAAGACTTTTGTTTCATATTCAATACAATTCGTTTCTTTTAATAGGGCTGATACTGTTATCAGCCATTTAATTTGATCAAAATTTTCAGAACTTCAAAAATTGCTTTGTTATGTCATTGTGGGTAGCCGGAGGCAAGGAGGATGTCTTGCCCCTTTCTCGGCTACAGTTTGGTGGAAACTGCCCACTTGAAAGTGGATGGCTGGTTTACGTTTTATGATCCCGACGGGTCGGGCTTTTTTTTTTGTCAGGTGGAATGGAGGAGGAGAAAGGGGTTGTCGGTAAGGCGTAAGCAAAAAACGAGTAAATGACATCATTTAACAAGAAAACTAAAACTTTATTGGATAACAAATAAAATTACAAATACTAACATCGAAATAATTATCGAGATTCTCTAACTCTCGAGTACAAGTTAAAAGAGGCCGAGAGAAAGTTTACACAAGTGGTTATCATACCTCTAACACTCCAACGGAAATTCGAATCCGTCCTTTCTTTTATCCGACGCACAAGTTAATAAAGTCGCGACTGAAACTCCGGATCACACTCGTCAAAACAAATTAAAGATAAGGCTCTTTTGCTGAATTTCTTTCGATGTCACTCTTCTAGCGTTCGGTCACGGACTTCCCTGAGAGGGGATGAATCGGCCTTTTATTGGTTCCGCTTGGAAAAATAAGTCATGTGAATAAATGTTGTCTAAAGCAAAGGTTATTTTAGCAGGTGTTTAAGTCATAGGTGTCCCCGGGACCATAATAAAGTGAAGAAATCGGACGATAACTGTAAACTTATGCCTTGCAATATTAGCTTGACAATGTTGGATGGGTAAATGTTTACATTCTTAAAGGAAGGTTATACATTTCTATAGTTGTTGATGGGATATTCTAACTTCTTTCCCTGCGATGTTGTTTTAACGAGTTAGAAAAAAATATGAGGTGAAATACTACGAACATTAGAGGAAAAAATAATGTTTCTAAAATCTGGATCTCACATTATATTTTAATTCATTTCGTCACATTTTAAGTAGCTAAAATGATATTACTTGAGGTGCCTGTATGCAATTTTTGCCTTGCTTCGCCTTGCCCAGTCTCGGTCTATATTGCCTGAAGGATCAATTAGTAAATATCTCATGTAACTCATATCAAAACTCTCAAAACTATTTTTATTTCTTTGGAAATGAAAAGCGAAGTATAAATCAAACATAAATATAAACAAATTGGTTGAATTTTATAAATTTATCACAACAAATACATATTAAAAGTTATTTCAAGTTTTCTTCTGTGGTAACTTTTAATACTTTACATATCCATATAAGAACCTTATATATTAAGAATATTATATTGTCTTTTCAGAACTTAATAGTTCTTAGTTTTTATTTGTACTTTTAATAAAAAAGTTAAACTTTCAATTATCCGAATTAATCGGGATCTGAAGCTGTTCGGATAATTGAATTTTTGCCTAAAATAGTCTTTTTTTTTTAAATCTCTTTGATTTTTAAAATACTATTAAACAGAACGCGTGTACATAAATAAACTATTAAATCTGAAAATGTATAAACGAAGAATATAGTTTATTTTCTATATTTAGAAAAACGTTACTTTTCATGCATTTACAGTACATAGATATATAAGTGTATTTATTTTTAAGAAAGTTGAAGGGCAGTATGGATAATTGCAGTTTTACTCTACTTGATTTTGGTCTTTGGAGACCTAGTTTACAATATATATAAACTGCATAATTTTTAATGCGCTTCTTTTCGCGGTTGTAACTTGGCTGTCGAGTTCGTGTCTTTCAAGTTATACCACGCTCTTTACCTTTTTTCATATTATAGGAAATAGTCATACAACTATGTAATAAAAATATTGTCACACATGTCTATGCTGTACCATTATATAACATGTAAGGTTTTTATGTTATTGTCAACCCGCGTTTATGTTAAATCCTACTTATCAATGTCGTGTAACTCACCTTGTTTTTTGTAATTTTAACAGCACTGAAGAGGGGTTGGGAATACAAGCCAACCCAAAATGCATCTGAATTTTAAAAAAGCGTTTATTTTAAAATAAACCGTAACGTTTTTCTAACCATTGCTGTTTGATCGTCTACCAAAATTATCGTTTGGATTACAAAGACGCTACACACAGAATCAGAGTAATTTTATAGTTTTTACATGTATGTCATTTTGTCCTTACGTAATGTGTCATTTTGTCCATAGTATATGGACAAAATGGATTTTGGATGATCTCAATTAAACTAACAATATTTTTTTCTATTATTTTAATATTGTAAATGTTTAGTAGGCCTATATTTCATAGGTAAAGAACCAAAGATGATTGTTGTAGAATATGACAGTGCTGCGATTTACCAATAAAGAGT